CCCCGTAGGGTTTAGGGTTTGGGGGGGGGTTAAGGTTTAGGGTTTGGGGGAGGGGTTAGGGTTTAGGGTTTGGGGGAGGGGTTAGGGTTTAGGGTTTAGGGTTTGGGGGGGAGGTGGAAGGGGTTGAGGAGGAGATTGGGAAATTAAAACAGGACATGAAAAAGGAGATTAAAAGATGAAAAGGAGATTTAAAATATATTCAAAATGAGATTAAAAAAAAAACTCAAAAGGAGATAAAAAGGAGATTAAAAAGAAGATCAAAAAGATTAAAAAGATTAAAAAAAGATTAAAAGAAGACTAAGAGGAGACTGGAAAAGAGGTAAAAAAGATATTAAAAAGAAAACTAACAAAAGATTAAAAGGAGATTAAAAGAATATTCAAAAAGATGTTAACAAGGAGATTAAATAAATATGAAAAAGGAGATTGAGAGGAAATTAAAAGAAGATTTAAAAGGAGATTTAAAAGGAGAAAAAGGATATTAAAAATAAGACAAAACGGTGACAAAAGGAGACAAAAAAGGTGACAAAAAGGAGACAAAAAGAAACAAAAAAGGTAACAAGAAGAGGACAAATGGAGTCAAAAAACAAAAAAAAGGCGCAAAAAAGGAGACAAAAGGAGACAACAAGAGAGACAAAAATTCGAGAAAAAAGATATTAAAAAAGAGACAAAAATTACAGATAAAAGAGATTAAAAAGGAGACAAAAATTAGAAAAAAGATATAAAAAAGAGATAAAAAAGGAGACAAAAGTTGGATAAAAAAGAGACTGAAAAGAGGTAAAAAAGGAGATAAAAGTTAAAAGACCAAAACGAGATTAAAAAGGAGACAAAAGTTCGATAAAAAAGAAATAAAAAGGAAGTTAAAAAAAGAATAAAAAGGAGACACAAATTAAACAAAAAAGAGATAAAAAAGAGACTAAAAAGAGATAAAAAAGAGATTAAAAAGAGATAAAAAAGGGATTAAAAAGGAGACAAAAGCTAGACAAAAAAAGATTGAAAAGAGACTAAAATGACAATAAAAACATACTGAAAAGAGATTAAAAAGAGATTAAAAAGAGATTAAAAAGAGATTAAAAAAAGATAAAAAAGAAATTAAAAAGAGATAAAAAAGGGACAAAGGAGACAGAAAAAGAAAAAAGATTAAAAAGGAAACAGAAGGAGACAGGAGGAGACAAAAAAGAGAAAAAGAAATTTAAAAAGTGTTTCAAAAGAACTTTTGAAAATGTTCAAAAGTTGTTTTCAAAACTGTTTAAAGAGACACTTTGAGGAGACAATTAAATAAAAAAAAGAAATAAAATAAACTCAAAAAAGATTAAAAGATAACTAAAAAACCCTAAACCCTAAATAAAAGACAAAAAGGAGACAATCAAATAAAAGACAACTCAATAAAAGATCCTTCAAACAAAAGACACCACGCAGCAGCAGCAGGAGCAGCAGCAGCAAGAGCAGCAGCAGCAGCAGCAAGAGCAGCAGCAGCAGCAGCAGCAGCAAGAGCAGCAGCAGCAAATAGCGATTTCTGCGAACCTGCAAAGTCGAGAGCAGCAAATTCTCAGGTGTCTCCGCATCAACATCGAGATCCTCTGGCGCACTCGGCTCCTGCAGACAAACCCTAAACCCTAAACCCTAAACCCTAAACCCTAAACCCTAAACCCTAAACCCTCAACGGTAAACTGCTGGGCAAAGTCTGCTGCAGCTCCTCAACAGGTCTCTCGGGCTGCTGATGACAATGAGAACCAACTAGCTGCTGCTGCTGCTGCTATCGCTGCTGCTGCTGCTGTTGCTGCTGCTGTTGCTGTTGCTGCTGCTGCGGATGCTGCCACTCCGCAACTGCTGCTGCTCCTCCTCCTCCTGCTGCTACCACTACCCCTGCTGCTGCTGCTAGTCCTGCTGCTACCACTACCCCTGCTACTCAAACTGCTACACCAGCTGCTGCTGCTGTTCCAGCTGCCGCGGCTGCTCCAGCTGCTGCTGCTGCAGCTGCTGCAGCAGCAGCAGCAGCTGCTGCAGCTGCTGCTGCTGCTGCTGCTGCTGCTGCTGACCGCCTCGTCTCCGGCCTTGGCCTTGGCAGCAGCAAGTCTGGCCTCCGCTCTGGAGCGAAGCTCTGCGACGACTTTGCCGAGGGACTGGGTGTTGGCGTGTTGGGAGACAATGCGGTATTGGTGGAGTCTGGAAATGGAAAAAAGCAAAATAAAATAATTAATTACTTTTTATTCATCATTTAATAAACCCTAAACCCTCGAGAAGATTCAAAGACATTCAGGCGCGAAAAAACGCGAAAAAAACACCCAAAAACACACATTTTGACCCCACTAACACCCAGCAGCAGCAGCAGCAGCAGCAGCAGCAGCAGCAGCAGCAGCAGCAGCAGCAGCGTACCCATCTCGCGCCAGGCGCAGCTTGCCCTCATCCACACACAGCTGCACATGGCGCATCATAATGGCCTCCTGCACAGCATCCCACCCCTGCGACCTGCGCAAAAACCCTAAACCCTAAACCCTAAACC